ACAAAAAATAAGGGTCTTTAGTGACTGTATTTATTGTCCCAAATAATCCCGTCACTAAAAGTTATTAGGGATGGAAAGTACCGTCACCAAAAATAAGGGTCTTTAGTGAAATTTATTAGGGACAGAATATACCGTCACCAATAAGTTATATATTAGGGACAATTAAACTATTTGTGACAGTATTTACCGTCCCTAATAACTTATATTTTTTTTTTCTTTCACAATTGTGACAACTAGAAACCGTCCCTATTACTTCTTTTTTTTTTTTTTTTTTTTTTTTTTAGGGCCCCAGCTATGTTTGATACGTTTGTATGTTTTTTCTTCTCAAGTTCTTTATAAGAAAACTCTTAACTAAAAATAAGAAAGTATAGTAACCCACAAAATATTATACCACGTGCGCCATAAATGATATCAAAAGCATATGACATGTAGAATATGAAAATAAACTTTAAATCTCTTCCAACATGTTCAAAAATCAGAGCATCATTGCCACATGCACACTCTCACACACACGTGCCCACAAGGTCACTACAATCACCCGCTCTTTGGGGCTCGACTTCCTCGTTGGCCACACTTTCGGCTGGACTAGGCACTGATACCATTTGTAATAACCCTCACCCTACCCAGACACAATATTGTCCGTTTTTTGCTCCCCTTGACCAGAGACTTCCTAGGGGGTTACCCATCCTGATACTACTCTAGGTTAAGCACGCTTAATTCCGAAGTTCTGATAGGTTCACGGCTTTAAAACGTGTTGTATCATAGAAGGGTGTTGAATCTACATATAGTATTTGCCCCATCTATCTCTAGCACATTTTACTTTTATTCAAAACCGTTTAACAAAAGACCCCTCCTCATTCCCTATCCTTATGGTTGTTTCAATTTCCTCGCCAATCCTTGTCTAGCTTAAATTCTAAAGAGAGAAAGAGAAAGAGAGAGAGAGAGAGAGAAAAAAAAGAAAAGATAACAACCAAATTACTATCATACCCTTTTATAAGATGAGACTCAAGTGTCATAACAAATTTCTTCTTTAAAATGTTAAGGGTATTTTTGGGATTGCAACTCACTGTCATTTCTTTTCAAATCTTCTAATTTTTTTAAGGATAGCTAGCGAGGAATGGAAAGATAAATTATCCCTCTAAATCTCTCCAAATCATTTCTTTTCTCTTCTTAAGGGAAACCCAAACACAAAAAGTCGCTATTTTTTTTTTTCTTTTCCTCCCAAATCAAGCCATCCAAATGAAGCCTTAGAGAATGAGGGAATGAGACTGGACTACTGCTATGTGAAGTAATGGGATCAAAAGATAAGGTAAGATATAAATTAGGATTTTGGTGGTTAAATACTAAAAAGGTATCTTAGAAAATCTCATTAACAATAGGGATATTATAGTGATTTTATTTTTACATAAAAGGGTGGCATTACCTTTCTCCGTCTCCCTACTCGCCTCGCCTCGCCTGGGTTATTACCCCCCTCACTTTTTCCCTCTTAATCTCTTATTAAACCACCCCAAACCAGGGCCAACCCTGGGACGAAGCGACCCAGGCGGTCCCCTAGGGCCTCCAATTTGGCCCAAAAAATTGTATTACTAGAACCTCTCAAATTTTTGAATCTCACATGCCTCAGAAAATATTGAATCTCTCGGTATCGCCCCTGCCCCAAATCCATCCTAATAAACTTGAGTACCCGTTAGGGCGGGAATTTTGCCACCCCTAAGCTGCAATTATGACATAGAATAGTGTTAGAAGGCCAGGTTGAGTCCCCATTTGTTAATTTTGTGATGTGCAATGGGAGATTATAGGTTATAAAATTAATTATAACAGTTTTTGCTATAAAAAAAAAAAAAAAGAGTTAAAATAAAAATCAAGCATATAAATTTTATTTTCTTGTACTGTCACTCACTATGAATATAAGATCTCAAAAACACATTCCTAAAATTTTCTTGGTTAGATGTCTAAATCATGAAAAATGATTGGATGGCATTGCAGATCTGAAAGAGGTAGAGCATCTACAGATTCTTTTAAACTTCGAGCAAGAACAAAATGATAAGAAATGACATTTTGACAAGATGCTAAACAATTTAATCATAAACTTTAACCAATATTATTGCAACATAAGTCACTAGGTAAGAAAGGAATCTAGCTAGGGGAATGCTTTTTATTGGTGTATACTTGACTAAATCATAGACCAGCTTAAACCATGAACACTAAATTGATCATATTTTTTTTTTTTTTTTTTTTTTTTTTTTGAAATTAGAAAACTCATTTTTGTGAACGAACTTATCTTCTATGTTGACATGCCAGCTCAACTTTACAACAAATTTAAAGGGAAAGTGATGCATTAAAGTATGACATGTGATTATTTATTTTTATATTTTTATCATGGCAAAGGAAGAGTAAAGAGAAAAATTCTAAAATACTTCGGGTACTATATTTTTATTTTTTTTACCATGGCAAAGTAAGAGTAATGAGAAAATTTCTAGAATACTTCGGGTACTGTATTTCTAAGTCTCTCGGTCGTTGGATATGGTGATAGGACCCGCATGTTGAATTATTCAATGAGACTCTGGGGTACAGTACCCACATTGACCGTTAGATATGATTTAACTGTAAAAATAAAATAATAATAATTACTAAAAAAAAACATGACAATTATATTCAACTTTACCATTCTTAATGTGAATAAAAATTTATTGCTCAATAACGAGCAAGAGATCATTTCTGGGCAAGTGTAACACACTCACTTTGTTCTTAAATTAGTTCTGAGTTGCTAAAAGCGAAGTTTTAAGGAATGAAAGGAGCAATGCGGCAATGCCTACGTTGTTTGTGTGTGTCCAAGAACAAGTTAACTTGCCCTAAACAAATTTATAAAAATAAAAAATGTCTTATCAAATTTGCCAATCTAATTATTTGATTATAACATTTGTTGTGTTTATTATGCATGTCAAATATTAAAGTAAATGGTTAAAATAAATTCAAAATTTGTGTGCATCTATTCCTCCACAGACTCTACAATGACGGGAGTCTCATGCACTATACTAACCCTTTAATCCATATTTTTCTAAGAAAAATATAATTTTTTCTTTTTAACCAAGAAAAAAAAAATAATGAATTAGCTTGATTTCCTATATGCATGATAATCATGTAACAATCTTAAATCCATCAATTGAATTATCAAAAGATTATCTTACCAAAAGTGAACTATCTTCGATCCAACAATTGGATTATCAAAAGATTATCCTACACAAAGCTATTTACACGTGTAAGATAAATTTATTCTTATACCAAATATAAATAGATACACCCCTTGTATATATGGAAATGATCCAACAAATTTTAGACTCCTGGCAAATTCTAAAGCCATACTTTAGGATAAATTCTGTAGTATAATTAAAAAGAATAGTTTGAAATATTCCCTATAATATGTAAAGACCTTATATACTCAAAACAAGGAATGATGCAAAGTGGTGTAACCTTCCCTATATTGCACAAATATGCTCATGAAACTTGACCTCACCTAAAAAAATATAAAATAATAAAAGAATTATTATTATTATTATTATTATTATTATTTTCCAATCAAAGCCACATAACATGACTTAAAGTAGTAAATGCTTCTTTTTTCTATCTGAGTCCATAGGTATAGGATCCTGTTCTAAACGTAATACAAAAATAACAAAAAGTTGAAACATATTGAATCTTTTCAAAGACTTTGAGCAAGGGAAGCTCATGTTAGTGCCCTACAAATCTATTGAAACAAGTGATTGAAATAAATATGCAGATTTTGACAAGAACCCATTAGCAGTTTCTTTTTATTATTTATTTTTTGCCCTTTTTGTTACAAGGCAGAACTGATACTAATAGAATGTGGGTCCCACAAATCATATGATACATTGAGTCCAATCATATTGAAATATGGTGCTCCAGTCAGAAGCTTAATGTAGGGAAGGCTGTTAATCCATCTGTTAGGGCACTTTGCATTATGAGATTGGTCACATTTTTATGTAGAATATGAAAGGGACCATATCTATTTGTTTTCTTTATAAACAAATGAGTGTTTTTACTTGCAACTTTGAGTGGGATAAAGCCTATGGCCAGTAGACTCTTATTATGGGATTTAAATGTTCAAATCTAGGGTTGCACCTTGGTTCAGAAAGGACAGACTTTGGTTCAGAAAGGACTGCCCTATTTTACCTTATATTTTTAATTATTTTCATTCTTTTTTTCTTTTCTTTTCTTTGTTTTTTTTTCTTTTCTCTTCTCTTCTTGATTGTAGAGATGACATTAGCAGCAGCTGCACTTATCACAATGGTTTTTGCAGTCCAATCACAGTTGTATCTTCTAATTATTAGAAATACTTAAAAAGGCAAGTGGTCCAATCTAGGAATTGCAATGGGTTTGATTCCCATTTTGTGGTGCCTGTTTGATGAATTTGTAGTAACAATCATAATCCCAATACTTCAACCATTTTATATATGTGATGGATTAATAAAACTTGCCAACAAAAGTGTCTCTAAATGGTACAGACCATTCCTAGTCCAATCACCAAGGTAGCTGTAACAAAAACACAGACACAGACACACACACATGATCCATGTCTTAGCTCCTAATGTCCACAACAACAAAACAGTCCAGATTACACCGAGCAGCCACCATAACAAGAAGCTCTGCAATTCGACAACCAGGAATTCAGCTACTTCAAAGACAAGTATATGAACTCGTGCAGATACAACTGCAACGCAGTGAAAAGCCCCAGATTTCATCAACTAAACAACTGCCTTTTGATACCCTGGCAGCTTTTAACAATTAGCGCAAATTGCTAAGATAAAATGACATGCAACATATTTTCAATCACCAGAACACATGTAAAAGAGGAATATAATTCGAAGCCTACCTATCCTCTCACCCAAAAAAAAAAGGGCTCTGTGGTCATGACATCATAGCAACCTAGTGTAACAAATTGTAGAAGAAATACTCCAAACTATGCGCTTGAGAGGTAGCAATGGAGAGAGTGAATTTTTCTCTTGATTTTATTCAAGTAGTCAAGGTCAAGGACCCATTGCTACAAAAAGAATAAAGAACCATAGCAAGGGAAGCAACAGACTAAAATCAAACGTAGGCCAACTTAAGTGCCCACTTTCCTAGCAAGAATTGAATTGACTGTTAAAAAACAAATTTACATCGAAATCAATAACCCAAAATCTACCTTCTGCTTTGCAGGAAGGTTTTCCTGCCAAAGACGGAAAAACATCCGGCTTGAGAACCCCACCATGGGAATGCCCCAATTTGAGGCCTGCACAAAGAATATATTTATATATATCTTCATATAAACTCGTTAAGTTCCATCCCTGCTTCAAGGATCAAAATTTTCAGATTTTCTGTGTTGTTAAATTTTTTACTACCTGCTTCCTCTTAAACTTAAAGGAGATAGGAATGGTAGTTCCTATGGCAAACCTGTCCATCAAACCACAATCTGGAGCTTCGTTAGAAATAGTTGCATTGGCACCCAAATAGTGGCTAAAATCTCCAACCGCAGAACAATCTGATGAGATCAGTTGTCCACATCTTCCTTCAAATTGGAGTTTCTTTAGTCGTTTAAGCCCTGTGGGAAATTTTTTTTTTACTAGGATTTGTAAAACTTGTGAAGGCCCAGAATCATAAGGTCAGCACTAACATAGAACAAATGAAAGAAAAGTAATATCAATATAGAATGCATTGGAAAATATAATCAATTGTATGGATGGAGTTAGCTAAGCAAGCACCAAATCAAGAAGTGACTGGATGACAAATTTCTTTTTAACTGGCAGCATTCTCAACACATTCACAAATTTGTTTTACCATTCATTATGAAATGAAGTGTCGGAAGTTGTTTAAGATGTTCCTAAGTAACATGGCATTACGGCTAATTGAACAGAAACAACTTAACAAATCTCATGGAGGCAAAAGTCCAGAGCTTTATGGCTTAAAGAAGGTGACAACACCACGAAGTTTTTCCACATACTTGCCAATGCTCATAGAAGGGGTACTCAGATTGGGAGGATTCGGATGAAAGGGGTCTAAGCAAAGCAAAGAGGAGGAGGTTTGTTGGGGGATTGCTGCTTTCTATCAGAAGTTGTTCACATAAACTTCTTGCTGGAGACCTTTGCTTGGGGGGCTTCAGTTTGGCTCTATTTCTGGCAAGGAGTGCATCTCTTTGGAGTAACCCTTCTCAAAAGAGGAAGAGTTGTAATGGGGACAGCCCCGGGTCCTGATGGCTTTTCCATGAGATTCCTCTTTAAGAACTGGGAGGTGGTTAGATGGGAGGTGATGGGCACTTTTCATGCCCAGGGTCATTTTGAGAAAAGTCTAAATGCCACATTTATTGATCTCATTTAGAAAAGAAGGGGGGGGGGGGGGGGGGGGGGGGGGAATGGATGGATGTTTCGGAATTTTCGACCTATCAGTTTGGTGGGAAGCATATACAAGTTCATTGCAAAGGTCCTTGCTTTGAGATTGAGGGGAGTCTTGGATGGGCTCATTTCTAACTCTCAAAATGCCTTTGTTCGAGGTCACTAGATTATTGATTCGGTCCTTATCGCAGGCAAACGTTAGGACCCCATATTGAGTAGTGGTGTTCCAGGTGTTCTTTGCAATTTGGACATTGAGACGGCGTATGATCACATTAGTTGGAGTTTCCTTCTCTACTAGTTGGAGATGATGGGTATTGGTGAGAAATGGAGGAGATGGATTGAGTTTTGCATTTCCAGTGTTCGATACTCGGTCCTTGTGAAGAGATTGGCGCCTTTCAACAAAACTCTTTTGGGGAAGTGGCTTTGGCGCTTGGGGTGGAGAGGCACAGGCAATGGAGGGTGGTTGCAAGCCATTTCGGGGAGTGGAGGGTGCCTCCCTTGAGGTGCACTCTCCAGGTGGTGTTGGGGTTTGGAAATCCATTCGGAAAGGGTGGGATGAGTTCTCTGAACACATCAGATTTCGACTCAGGATGGTAGGAGAATTTGTTTCTGAGAGAATATTTGGTGTGGTGTTTCCCACGAATTCTATGGATTGCTTCGGATAGACAGGCCATGGTGGTTGACTGTTATCGCCTTGATAGTGAGAGATCGTCTTGGGATGTTCGTTTTATGAGGCATTCTTAGCATTGGGAGATCGTGGGAGATGTTTCTGATTCCTGGGCTTGAGTCCCTGCATCTCAGGGGTGCTTTGATATTTGGTCTTTCTATCGATGTCTCATGAGGTGCCAAGGGTTTCTTATCCGTGGAAGGCGGTTTGGTGATCCAAAGACCCTTTACAGGTGGCTTTCTTTGCATGGACATTTGTCTTGGGAAAAATCTTAACCCAGGATAATTTGAAGGGAAGAAATCAGGTTGTGGTCAATTTTTGTTGCATGTGCCTCAGAGATAAGGAGATGGTTGATCACCTCCTTTTTTCAGTTTCACGTGGCCAAGGACTGTTGGGACTTGATTTTAGGTTTGTTTGGAGTTCAGTGGGTCATGCTCAGGCCTTCCAGAGATTTTGTTGAGGCTTGGAGAGAGTGTGTAGTGGGGACCCAAGTCCGGGAAGTTTAGAGGACTATGCCTTTGTGCGTCTGGTGGTGTTTATGGCTTGAAAGAAACATGAGGTCCTTCGAAGGAAAGGAGACATGCTGAAGATCTCCATCATAACCACTCTTTTTTGTTGGGTTGTGGGAAGAAACTATAGATCTTTAGAGGAGATAGTTAATTTTTTAGGCTCTTTGAAACTATAGAGGCCCTACTTGGCCTTGTGTAGTTTTCGTGGGAAGTGGTCCCCTTTTGATCGCTTTATAATACAATCTTACTTATCCAAAAAAAAAAAAATGGAAGGAGTTCTTAGCCTCTATTATTGGTCATTTAAGCCCCTAAGATCTTAGGGCCCATTCAAAGAAAATGCTACATGAATTGTCCCTTTCCCTTGGTGGTTGGGTCCCTGAAGTGAGAGGCGCCTTATCACCCTCTAAAAGAATCATTCTTATTTCCTTCCAAGAACTTCAATGCTAGTTTTTTTGGGCCTTCACTCTTAGTAGGGGTGGCAAAGTTTGATACGACACGAGTTAAACGGGTTTGGATTGGCCTTAAATGGGTTCGGGTTGTAAACGGGTTGACATGTTTAACCCGTTTAGTTAATCGCATCGTGTTTGGGTTGAGGGATTCAATCCATGTAACTCGTTTAACTATGTGTCATAAACAAATTTCTATTTAAGTTCCAAAATAACTATCCAAACTTGTGTCTTATAATTTACATTTTTGTAGACTAGAGACTATTTAGTAATTTGGTTAGATTGAAATTTATATATTTTTTAATATTTATTGTTTGTTCGAGTATTATTAATAATTTAAATAATATAATATTTTATGAATAATGATAAGGAGGCCGAAGAATTAACCCCGAATAAGCACCGAATGTGACGTGTTTTTGTCCACCTCATCTACTTAAATAGTTTCCAAAAAATAATTGTTTAACACGTGATAAGAATGGCCAATCACGTCAAATTCGATGTTAATTCGGGATTCCTTTTCGGTTCCTATATCCTTACTCATATTTTATTTTAGTAAATAGGTCATTAAATGGGTTACAAGTGTAACCCATTTAATAAACAGGCCGGATTAGTGTTGAGAGTTCTTGACACAAATGGGTCATGTTCGGGTTGAGCAATACCATTAGGTCGACACGACACGATTATGACTCGCAAACACAAATTGTCACCCCTAACTCAGTCATATTTATGGAAGACGGCTTAACTTTGATCCAAAATACCAACCGTGTTTTGAAAGTATAGTAACTTTACCAAGAAATTTAGATTACTTCAGCTTAGTATGAGGGGAAAATATAGTACTGGTAAAGCCTGTAAATTGGACCAGAACAAACTGAATTGTAACAATTCAATTCTCAATTTGGGGTCTTGAACCAAACAGTTAATAAAATAATATACATATATTACATAACTAATTGAACCCAATCACATAAACGAATTCATGTTTCATCGTTCATATGAAATTTTTGGTTTAATAACTGTTCTACAAATATATTTCATTTGGTACTTTCTGGAAAAAAAAAAAAAAAAAAATCTGTTGGCATATTTGTATATTCTTTTATTACATAACACACCAATTTGTCCAACCTGATCTAATCCAACTAATTATACATCCATCTCAGTAAACACTGAAAGACTGAAAGTAGCCAAAACTGTTACTTTTAATAATCTTATCCTAGATCAAGTTTAGTGTAAACTAAAAATTGTTGCAAGATGTAATGCACCACAAAACTTGGCTGTTTTAATCTTAGCAGAAGGGAATTTCATCCTTTAGATTAATCTAAAACTTTAGGCTAACTTTTTGCCATTTCTTTGGCATCCAAAGGAAGTATTTGTATTGTAAGCCTTTTTTTTTCCTTACCCACAATGCAAGGAGACTGAGATAATGAAAATCCATATGATTTCAAGATAAAGACTTCCAAGCTACAGTAGCACTGTAGCAGCGGTCCTATACGCCAATCTTTCAAGACCCACTTCTATACTCCCACCTAACAGTGTTCCTTTTTAAACAAATAAGAGTGCAAAAGTAAATGAATAAATAAACATGTAAATTATCATATTTCATTTCATTATCCACATTTATAATGCACAAAATCTAACACGGCTCCCCGTTCACCACATGATGCTACATCTATATTTTTCAAGCAAGTATTCGAATATTTCATAAGGAATATGATACTTGGGTCGAAACCCCTGATCTATTTTATAAACCTACACATTTTCAACCATTAGATGGTTTAATATGCATATATATGGATCAAAGAGGGTCCCATGATAAACCATCCAATGGTCCTAAAACTTACAGTTTAGGAAATTGGCCAGGGATTTCAGTCAGCATATCACAGTTCATTTCAAAGACATCATATATTCAGACACTTAAAATGGTATTCTTCCTGCCCTCATCGGGCTATCATTTCTAGGGTATGGTACTCACTTTCCGCCTTTGCTGTAGCTGTCTCGAAGTGTGACAGTTCGGTTGAAGACAAGTTTTTCAGGTGTGGAGTCCTTATCGACAACAAAGTAACCTGGAATTGCAAATAGAAGATCTAAATGATTGAACTGTTTTATCGACAACGTAATATTTACTATTTTAGCGGAAATAAGTCAAATGGGCAAAAATAAGTGTGCGACTGCACGGTAAAAGACAAAGAAATTATAAACGTCAAAGAAGAGACCATTTCACACCAAAAAATAAATAAATAAATAAATAATTTTAAAAAAATAAATAAATAAAATCTACCTAATAGGCTACACTTCTAAACTCGAGGCTCTTGATAAGAATTGAAACCCTAAATCTGCCTTTAGATGCCTTGCAACACTTCTATTGTTGTACTACAATGCTTTGACGGTAACAAAGGATGCCAAAATAAAAATATGGAAACTTCATTTTGACAAATTGGTAAAGATGATTCTTTGGAGCACTCTAGAACAACATTATAGATAACACCAAGTCCGTGAGAATTATAGTTGTTATGTTTCAGAATTTTAATTGCTGGAATATAAAACCAATTGATAGAAAAAGAATGTAGAGCTTATCGACATTGGGTGGAGGTTAAGCAATATAAGTAAATCCATTGAGTGAATTATAACGACCCAATTCCAGGCCCATGGTACATTGAAAAACTAATGTAAAAAAAATTAAAAGTTTCAGGAACCTACCAAGCCTTTCAAACTGAAATCTATCTCCAACTGCAGCATTTTTAAGTGAAGGCACGGCATATGCATCTGACATCACCACTTTCGACTGTGGGTTCAAATCACCAAGCCAATCATCCAGCTCTGCAGGACTCTGATAGTGATAACGAAAAACAGTTAACATATCACAATACTTCAAGTAAAAAGGAGAAACAAAGAAAGCCTCAGGAAAGGAAACATCAACCTCAGAAAGGAAAAGTTTGTCAAACAATCTGACTTCCACCTTGAGTGGATCAAGCCCAGGAGAAGACTCTGAGACCCAGTGGAGAACACCCTGCATAATTTTATAATTTTTAAAAACCAAAATAAATTTAAAAACAAAAGGTAACAAAATTTTGCTATTGCAGAAGACACATTGTTAATTAAACAATAACTAAATCCAGGATGGCAAATAACCTTTGGTTTTGTCTTCTTAGAAGCATCATACTCAGCTCGAATCTCAACAACAGTCTCTTTATCATCCCCAAAGATAACTTCTGTGCACTTAATAGGGAATGCATATCTACATGCAATTAAATGATTCTCAATACTGAACTCACATCTGGTAGGCATTTAGGCAAACAAATTACAATGCATACATACCTAAGTAGGACAGATTTACCAGGAGCAAGCCCGTAGTAATCTTTAGAATCTTTCAACCGAAAATCAGTGTGTTCGATATACACAACATTAGAGAACGGGACCTAAAATGAAAAGGAAAAAGAACCAAAATCAGTTAACGATTTGGCACATCCAAATCTACACCAACATTTGGCATAGAATTGTCAGAGATATACAAGTGTGAACTAAGAATCAGTATCATTTCTTCAAAAAATTATAAATATGATTTTAGCTTAGAAATGCTGACTAACTTTGTAGAAAGTAGATGCATTATCTATCTGAGCATCAGGCCATCTTTTTGCATCAAGATCCATCACTAAGCCAGCTTCAAGGTTTGTAATAACAACCTAAAACAAAGAAACAGTCAAATCATACACCTTAAATTAGTTCCTAAAGAAATAATTAAACAAGATACGCACCTTGAGTGGATCAAGCACAACCATTGTGCGAGGCACTGTTTTGTTCAGTTCTTCTCTTATATGATACTCAAGGCGGTTCAAATGTATTATACTACAATCACTGTAGCACAAGGTATCGTCAGTTTCAATCAGATAGTATATATAACAACATTTTCTGTAACATTTAATGCATGTACAAATACATCATGTATATTTCCACCTTCTAGTAATTCCAATTCCTCGAACTAAAGCATTAATTGAGGTTGAAGTAACTCCTCTACGTCGTAACCCGGCTAATGTCATCAGACGAGGATCATCCCAACCATCAACCCACTTTTGTGTCACAAGGCGATTCAACTATAACAACATAGCATGGTCAAAGATAAGTTTGGGATAATATCAGAAGGATCAAGGGGGCAGAAGTTCCAGTTGTTGCATACGAACATGTTCAGTACTTCAACTCACCTTACGCTTTGACATCACAGTGTTAGTGACATTCGAGCGAGAGTATTCCCATACATAAGGTTGGTAAAGACCCAGGGCATCCAATAACCAGTAGTATGAAGACCGGCGTGTTTCGAATTCAAGTGTACAAAGCTGCAGAAATATAATTTAGTTAAAGAACCACATATTTGAGACACCCATTAATGAACTAAGACATTAACATATTTGTCAAGAACACAAATAAGGTGGAAAGAGCTGGTAAAGCATATGAGAAGACAGAGTTCGAATAGACTCACATTAGAAATAAAATGTGTTAGGGAAAACCAAGGTCTCCTAGAAACTAACAATAATAGTACATGCTATCCTTAAGCCTGAACCACCCCCACCCCCAAAGAGAGAAGGAAAAAAAAAATGTGGTATACAGGTTTTAGCAAGTTGTCCCTTGAACTAAAGATATAGCATATCACCACCTTCAATTGTCAAAAATTATATTCATAAATAAAAAAAATGTCAAAAACTATTGCAAAATATCCCACTCCAGAGAAGGGTTATCTAGCAACTTTTCAATACTTTGAGGGGGCAAATCTCATTACAGAGGGAACATGCAAAACTTGTATAATACAGGGATTTTTTGCAATTAACCCAAAAGAATATGGCGAAGGCTCAAACAAAAGACACTATCTGATTCATGTTAGCTAACCAGGCCAAAAACAAAATTAACATACCTATATGATCTTTTCAGCATGAAGCCTGATAACAAGTACATAAGCCTGACTCATTTCATGCAGCCTAAGCACAAATGAGGTCAACGGAATCCGAGACCCCACAACCTTACCTCAAACGAGTTCATCAGAATTCTAAAACCTCTTTTTTTTTTTTTTTTCCTAGTTGGGACTCACACACACTGCCTCCATTGAGGTTCGAATCCCTGACCTCCCTTTGGGAACTGGTAAATAACATATCTATTAAAGATGGTTAGTTTAAAATATTTGTTGAAATGAAATATTAAAAGCTAACCAGGACGAAGAACCAAACCACGAAAGGCACCAATTTATGGGGTAAAAAGTTTGACCATCAGGCACCCGAAAGTTAAAGACTAACTGACAGTTTTATAAAGTGAAGTACAATAAAAATAAACAAACCGTATAAAATCAGACTTCATTAAAAGCCGACAAACAAACATCAAAAATTCATTACAAGAACTGCATATAATAAAAGAATACCCATAAAGGCAACGACGCATACCGAATGTGTAACATTCTCAAGAGAATCAACAATACAATGAGCATAATTGTAACTAGGGTATATACGCCACTTGTCTCCTGCATGTGGATGGGGAGTCAACTGGACAACAGAAAGTCAAACCACAGACATATGAGAATTTTCATTCAGTCTAAGTAATCATATATTTTTTCCTTAAACCACACGTATCAAATGTTGGATACTTGCCTTGATACGATATGCAATGAGGTCATACATATTGAAATTATCACTCTGCATGTCCTGCTTCATTCTGAGGGTCGCTTCGCCTTCACCAATCTTGCCTTCTTTCATTTCATTGAACAGTTTCAATGACTCTGCAATTGGTCGATTCCTCCAAGGACTGTTCATCTTTTTCTCCCTATATTCCTTTATCTCCTCGGGTGTCTAGATTTGATACGAAATGTCAATCACATGATAGTGTCTAATTTATCAATTAACACCAACCAGGCTATTTCGATATTATAAGCAAAAGGGAAGGGCAGAGGAAGAAGAACGATGGAAAAAAAAAGTTAAAAATTAAAGAAAAATGTAAACTAGTATAACAAAGTCTAATTTCCACACAATTGTCTATATATTATGTCAAGAAGTAACCTGATGATCAACATAAGCATGACCCCTCCATATCAGCTCCACCGCTAGATCATAAAGATCTTGGAAATAATCACTGGTGTAAGTGATCTACAAAAATACAACAGATATCAAACTTCGCTCTGGCCTAAGATGTGCTATTAATTTGGACCAAAAGCATACCTTGAAAGGTTCCCAGCCCATCCAACGTACAATTTCTTCAATATGATCTATATACTCTTTCTTTTCAGCTTCAGGATTCGTATCATCATACCTAACAGTGCCACAATAGACCAGTCACCAGTACTAAATTAAGAAAACAGAAGGTACAAGAATTTTCCTTGGCCTTTTTCAGTTAATAATGAGCAGCCCAATAGATTAAATGTATTTCAGCACCTAGTTCGAAAACATAACCCTTTTAGAGTAAAAGCTAAGTCACATGAATCAATCTCATGTTAGCATATCTATACATAATATTATCTTTTTTTTTTGTTGAATCAAATCAATCAGATCTCAATTTTTTTCTTAACATATTGAAGTATACCAATTCTTTTTCGCTCTTCGGGAGCACTGACCACGTACACAAACCAATACCGCACATTATGTTACTCTTGATAATAAGTTCAACTTTTTGGTTTCGTGATTGTTGAAGCAAGTATTTGTTTTGTAGGGCATTAAGATCTGTACAACTACAACTCTATAATTAGAGGTACAAGTTTTGCAGCCTGTTCCCTAGGAAGGGAAGAAGGAAGGATTGAAAAGGGGAACAGCTAAGGGGGAGGGACTGAGAGCTTTTCTTTCATCTCGTAGAGGAAAGGGAGAGGAAAGGAAGGGAGGAGGAAAGTCCTTTGGCTCTTAGCTCACCATTTCCCTTCCTCCCGAAAGTGGGAGGAAAGTAGGGAAAAAGCTTCCCCGCATTTTTACACTTTTACCGCTCCGGAACATGCCAAAAAGTAGATGGTTTTTTTTTTAAATACTCGGAAAATTCAAAGTTCTCAGAAAGTAGAGAACAAAAAAGAAGAAAGACAAACTACAAAATAATATTAAATAGACATCAAACGAATCAAATAATCTAATAAAAGCATAATCACCTCAGATAGCAACATCCACCTCTTTCTTTTGCCAGGCCAAAGTCAACGAACATAGCCTACACAATTCAATAGGTTATCAAATGAAGATCAAGGAACTACACTTCCCAGAAGAATGGTGAACAAAACTCTTAACAGGAGATATGGATAACCTTGGCATGACCAATATGTAGATACCCATTTGGTTCTGGTGGAAAGCGGGTAAAAACTTTTCCTCCTGTCACATTCAAATGTTTTTCAAGTATTTCTCTTGAATTGCAAGCTCTCAGCACAGGGCGATCACTGAAAAATATCTCGGTATGCACCTAAAGATCCACAAGATGGTTATACACTTTAAATTACTTTACAAATAGCAGCAGGCAAGATGAAAAGGAGTTAAAGATTCCATGTTGAGAAGAGATAGGCTTCTTAAATATGATAAGTTAAAATCAATAATGTGACAAATAAATGATAATGATCCTAGAAATAATAGTAAGGCATTGGGAATCATAATACCGTGGCTATTAATTTAACTGAAAGCCCAGACACCAGAATACCAACAAGGCAATACCTAGAAGATTTTTTACCGTGTAACCCCGGTAAAAAGTCAACCCAATACCACAGTGATGTTAAATACTTGCATAGAAAAAATCAAAAACACTTGACCAAAACTAATGCTTCATTAATCAAAATGTCACCATCACAATAGTCTCGGCAAGCATTATATCATTTTACCATTTTAACTATTATATATTCATAAACACTGAAACCAGTAATAATATACAGCTAAGAAAGTAAAGTGTTGAAGTATAAGTTGGCAAGCAAGAAATTAAAACTGGGTTGTAAAACAAATGAAGATCAAAATAAAGAAGTCAAATACCTTAAAATTCTCCTCTGGGGAAGGGAATATCAAAAATGGATTAAGTTCTTCTTCAGATGGTTTCTGCAATGTATCCACAACAGGAGTTTGATCCTACATGGTTAAGAGGCAAAGAAGAGAGAGAGAAAAAAAAAAGAAAAAAAAAAAGAAGAAGAATTTAACTCATCTCTAAAATAAAGTATACAGAGAGTAGTTTAGACTTTGCAGGCATGCAGTGGAGCTCATCTCTACTTTAACAAGCTTCTCTTTCTTCTTCTTAATAGGCTTTTCATCATCTGCTGCCGTCCTTTCACCAAGCAATGCATATAATTTTGCATCTATGAGTTGCTGTAAAAAAAATAAAAAAACATGGGCAGCAAAGAAGAGTAAACAAACAATAAAAAAACAATAACCTCAGAACTAATTTCATCAATAGATTAAATAATACAAGCTATTATTTAGGAAAAAAAATATTGCATGCTATTACCTTGACAATCTTTGGATCAGCCCATGGCTGTCGCTTTCGTACACGAGCAAATAGTTCCCCAACTACAAAGGAAAATGCTGAATGGTCACATTTCAATTGTTTATCAAAATGTGAGGCATGGCGAGTGACAAATAATGGAGGGAAATAAAATAAATAAATAAATAAAAATAATGCTGGAAATATTTCCATTCTGATCAAATCTTCCAAGAAGTAGAATAATTTTCTGAAGTATAAGATACACTCATAATAATTGGATACAGTGGATGGTAATCAATCTATTTGAGCTAGGAGTATAGCAAGGTTTCAATTAATAGCTGTTAGGTAGCAACTTCACATAACAAAATTATTAGGTCTCAATCCTGTTATGGGCGGATATGTTGCTACTAACACAATTCACAAACGTAATAGATGTAACAACCTTCTCAAGATGTAAATTTTGCAGCTCAATTTAAAACATTTTCTAATTTTCTTTGATTTTAAGCTTTTGGATGCTGCCAGATTTGATGTAACTGTAGATCTGCCCTACAAAACAACAAATTCACAAGATATGACCTTTCATCTTGAGCAAACTATTAAATATTCCACTTTTTTGGTAATCCGGTTTCAAACCTGTTTTTAGTTTTTTATCCCACTATTATGAATAGATTTAGGTTAAACCATCAACTCGAACCTAAATATCTTGTTTGAAATTATATTACCAAAAAAAAAAAGATTAATAAGTGCGGTCGCCAAGACACCAATAATTGAGGCTGTTGGGAGGAGAGGACGGGAAACAGACCTAACCTTTGGCATCATTAAGTAATAGCTTTGAAGATTTCAAACCCTCATTCTCACACTTGGTATCCCAAGCATTTTACAATAATAACTAGCAAATCCAACACTAGTTTTTCCAAACCAGATCTCTATAAACCTCATTTTCCTTTCATTTTGTACAAATATTGAGAAATGGTATTATTTAAACAGGATTTTAAGTTCTATAACTTTGCATCTTTTTAAGTGCATTATGATTTATTTTGGAGAAAAAAAAATAATCATTTCCCCAGCAGTGAAAAAATACCAATCAAAGCCTAACTCGAGAAATGTAAAAGTGACAATGAAACACAACACTATTAAAGAGAAATTAGGAATTTCCTTATGCATTAACAGGTCAAGCAATTTCACACACTCAGAAGTTTGTTAAAATTGAAATTTTATATTCTTAAAGTAGTATGGCACCTATCTACAAATATTAGAACAAAAAATATAACTATAACAGAAAGCAATATGATAGAAGAGATATTTAGTGATTTCAATAAATTATTGTAGAGGATAAGATAAATGGTGAATAAATAAATACAAAACTAGGTAAAAAAGTAAATATAGTGGAAATGTGAAGGAGAATAATGAGAGAGTCACCTGGGGATCAAATGAACCACAAGTACCCAACATCTAGAATTGATTGAACAAGAGGGTCGTAAGGGTGAGAACCTTGTTAACTTCATTGAGGAATTGGACTTAAAAAAGGTGTATTACTTCACTAGATGGTACAAAGTCCCTATATTAGAGGCTACTTCTAAAGATTTGCAATTGGACATTATCAAAGGACATGATCTTGAGGTTAGTTGTTTTCGCTTAAATATGTAACATAAAAAATAAAATAAAATAAAATAAAAGATAACCATCAAAAGTATGAAACAATTGAGTTATTTTGCTTAACCCTTGGATTTTCCCCATTTTTGGCTATAAATAATTAGAATTGACCATCACACTGGACAATATCTTTTTTATGTATGTTCCAAACATCTAAACAAGTGCATAATAACCACATAAAAAATTAAAAATTGAACCGCATTCCCGTATGGGCTTTTCTTTTCTTTTCTTGTCCTTCTTTCTCTCCTTTATTTATTTATTTTTTCCCTTAAACCTTGGAAATTTCTTCATTTTTGGCTATAAATAATTAAAATTGGCCATCACATTGGAGAATATTTTTTTCATTTATGCTCCACACATCCACATTCACGTATGGGCTTTTCTTTTCTTCTCTTTTCTTGTCTTTCATTCTTTTTCTTTTCTTTTCTTTTCTTTTTTTTTTTTCAGCATTGGATTGGGGATAGAGAGGGAGAGCGAGCAAATACAGCAAGAGAATGAAAGCAGTGCCACAATAAGTTGTCAACAAGCCAATATGTATTTGTACGTATTTGCAGCTGGAGTGTTGCAAAAGCATGGGTAGAAAGGAGTAACAATAACAAAAAAGTAAATCTTCAAATCAATATCACTAATACTATCATAACAAAACAATAAGGGACTATGATTCATATTACCATAACATGACAATGGGATCAGTCCAATGTGGAACTGATGATTAGATATATAAATATACATATGTAAATGATTAAGAAACAACCTCGTAAGAGTTACAGCAAAGAAACACAAACCATTTGTTCTATAGCGTTGCTCCAGAATTACATTCTTGCTCTCTTCAAAGATCACATTAACAGTGAGATCTATATCTTCAGCAGACACTTCAACTCCTGTTTTAAAATGTAGTTTTGAGCTTCTAGAATTCTATGTTTAGCAACTAGACCAACAGGAAAGAAAAAAAAAATAAAAAATGTCCCCAAACAAACTGATCAAGGTAAATAAAAGAAATATGACCCAGAAAAAAAAAATTAATAATAAAAAATAATAATAATAATAATAATTCAGAGAAAAAGACGTCCAAAAATTATAGTTTACAACCCTTCAAAGTAACTCAAAAGAGATGACCATTTTGTCATACCAACACCACAAGCCTCTTCAAATTCATTGATGTTATAATTCACGGAACCAGTAGTTGCAAAAAATGAAAATGCAGCTTCCAATTGGGCTGGAGTTTTTATCTGCATGAGTACAACCATGTATGAATACCAGAACACCCAAAGCTTTCATAAAATCTAGTTCAGGCTTCCCAACCAAAAATATGAAATATGCACAATTAAATAGACTGCTCAGTATATAAAAAATTCAAGACCTTTGACGAGACAATATATTGCAGCAACACTGGGCGATGCACAAGGGCATTTGCCGGAAACTTTGTTGCAACCTAACGTGAACAAGGAAAGCATTAGTGTCATGTATTAGCATGAAGGAAAAAATATACAAGCTTTGTTTCTTTCAATAGAAACTGCTTCCAAATAATATATATATATATATACATACTTTTTCAGTAAAATATCAACTAGTAAGTGTAAAGAGAGAATTTTATTTAGGGATTATATTCTTATGTAAAAGGGTTAACACGAAACATGTAACTGTATATTAGCTTACCGTGTAAAGAAGATTTCCAATAGTCCGGTCGCATCCATCAGTTACAGCTGCCTGAAAAAAATAATAACAATAATAATAAAATACACAAAAAAGTGATAAAAAGCCATAGATCCAAACAACAATCAAATAGCACAAATGAGAAAAAGGGAGAACAAAACATTTGTCTCTCACAAACTATATCAAAAGAAGAGTAAGTTACAAATTTCTGATTCTTAAATTTCAATTATTTTTCATGGATAACTACCTCAAATTTCATTCTTTTCCATGGATTAGTACCACAAATGAAAAATGTTGAACTCAACTGAGGTAATACATCCATTTAACTTGGCTGAATCAGAGCTCCCGATTTTTACAACACAAACAAACACATAAATATGTATATGCATGGATGGCAAGTGAAGATTGAATACCTCATGAATGACAGTCGTTAGATTTGCGGTAACCTTGTTGTTCGCCACAGTGTTCTTCGCAATACGCTCATCCAAACCGATCTTCAGGAACAGGTCCAGAGGCTTTTCGCTGCCCTCATCCTTCGCCGCCGTTTTCAATCTTTTTCACAAACCCTAAGGTCCAGTGAAGTTCAGGAGAAAAAAAAAAAAAAAACAGCTTGGGGCCAAAGCAATATATATATGGGGGGTACTTTTTTTTTCCTTTTGGTCTTTTTGAATTTTGATGATAAAAGACTCGTTATTTCATTTTTTTAAATGTTTCTTTCAGATTTGCACCAAGATGCAGTTGCTTTTTAAAATGAGTAATTCTCTCTTCCCCAAACTTTCCCTGTCTTACTTGTGTCAATTTTCGGTACTAATGCAAGTAATTTTGTCTGCACATCGATCAGTTTTCTATCCGGTGATGGGTGTTGCTTGTTTAAGTGTTGGTATTCTACTTCCTGACGCTTATGTTTCACTCTCTTCTTCAGATCTCAATTGACTAGTTTAGATTGTTTTCTATAGGGATATACATTGGATTTCTATTGGTTTCCACTTTTCTCATCTAAAGGCGTGTTAAATAATCAATGATATTGTTGCAACAATGATTTCTAGCATTGTTATGTTCTACCAAGGAGATGTCTAGGAAATTTTGTTTTGCCAGAAATTTATTTATTTATCTATTTATTTTTGTTGACAGCTTGTATTAATACTTATATATACTACTAATACAATGTTAATAATTAGGATGGCAACGGGTGGATTTGGGCAAGGTACCCTTCCATTTAAGTCCCCCCACCCAAAATCGTTTAGCCCAAAAAAGAACGTGCAAATCAAACTCCATTAAAACTCTGATGCGATGATCGATTGTTGATTGTGAATGTTTAACACTGATATTGACATAAGAGAGATGTTTTGCTGATAAAATTGACGAGTTACACTTAATCAAAAATCTAACTTTATGAATGTTAAAATGATCGATTGTTGATTATGAATGTTTAACAGTGATTGACGTAAGAAAGAGAGAGATGTTTTATTTGATGAAATTGACGAGTAACACTTGTTCAAAACCGTAACCCTACGGGAATAAACTTTTCGATACATATATACACACACAACAGCATATATATAATTATGTATGTATATATATTGAGAGAGATCTGAATCAGATTTAATGGCTCCAGTGAAAGTGGTAGAGAGACGACGGAGCAAGAAATATCATAGAAGGGCAGAGACAACACTTACCGGAGCACGACGGTGGTCGGGGAAGCTGACAGTGGCAAGCGACTGTGAGGCCGTGAGGGATTCTGTCGTCTCCGCGACTGGTAATGGGAATGTTTGAGCAGTGGGGGATAGGGCTTAGGCGTTAATACTGTTGTAATGAAGCGGGGCGGGCTGCCCCGACCCATCGTGAATTTTTCTTCTCAAAATTTTCTCCCGCCTATGATCTGAACCAAAGGATATTGATCAAATTGTGGCCAGGACTTGCAAATGTGCCAAGTTGAAAACAAATGGCGCGGGACTCGTCAATGCGGGCACACAAACGGGCTAAAACACACTTCACATGTGTGCCACAGGTAATGAGTATGCTTTGGCAGCTAATGGACCCTTATTCTCTTTTCTTAAAAGGGCATATTTTACGAAACGGCCAAATCCCCGATACAATCAGGTTTTTGATCAAATATTCCTAACTTATTTTTAAAAACCCTTAATATTATGAAATTTGATCACATTGCACTATTGTGATTAAATAATTAAACTAACCTTTTGATATATCAAATCAATTAAAATTATTAAAATTAATATTTTACCAATTACAAAAATAGTCTTGGTGACATTTAAGTCACCAAAGCACAAAATGCTGTCAAGTATGTATATATTATATGTATATGTATAAAGGGCATCGTGTGCGTGTTTCAAGTTGACTTTTCTTTCCAATTCTTTATAGAAGAGAATGGTTAGAACATGAAATTTTACCATATCAAAAACATTATCAGAAACTCAAAATGCGTATGACTCTCACACTACTCCTACATTCCATATCTCAGATCTAAGCCGCGAGATGAACTCTCTCTCATCAAATTATATCCAAATGTTTCGCCTTCTGCTCCCCATCCTCCTAACACTCCTCCCTTCGTCTTTTGCCCTCGATTTCCTCTTCAATTCCTTCAATGCCACCGTTGACCTTAACCTCACCAACGACGCTAGGCTCGAGTCCTCCACCATCAGACTCACCAACGACTCCAACCAGTTCTCAATTGGCCGAGTCTTCCACCGATCTCGAATCCAAATGAAACCCACTTCCAATTCCACCACCATCTCTTCTTTCTCCACCTCTTTCGTATTCTCCATCTTGCCAGAGGTCAATTCCAGTCCCGGCTTCAGCCTCGCCTTCGTCCAATCCAACTCCACCTCACCCCCCAGCGCCATTTCTGGCCAGTACTTCGGCCTCTTCTCCAACCCCACCGTCCCCACCGTCGCCCCCCTCCTCGTCGTTGAATTCGACACCGGCCGAAACCGAGAATTCAACGACACAGATGACAATTACATCGGAATCGACCTGAACAACATCGAATCGGAGGTCACGGTTAGAGCTGGGTACTATAGCTCCACTAATAGTAGTGATCTCATCCCTATAGATATGCGAAATGGGTAAAACATACATACTTGGATTGAATTCGATGGATTAAAACCCAGTCCCTTCCAATCCCTCTGATTGCAAGTGTTTGTCAACCCCTTCCCATCCCTCTGATCGCCCCTTCAAATTCTTCATTATTATACATATACATATAATATATACCAACCAAATAAAGAATTTCGTGAAATGGGTTTGATCAAACGACTATGTTTAGTGCCAATATATATTTACACACAAAATGCGTTTTGTGCTTTGGTGACTTAAACGTCACCAAGGCTTTTGGCTTTTTTAATTGATTTGGTATATTAGAAGATTAGTTTCATCATTTACTCACATAATTGGTGCAATGTGATCGAATTTCGTAGTGTTGGAGGTTTTCTAAAGTAGATTAGGGGTATTTGATCAAAAACCTGATAGTTATTGGAGGTTTCGTGAAATTTGTCATTTCTTAAATTGCAATTAGTCTCGACGGCTCTTTTGATAGACAATTAAGGCTTGTTTGGTTTGTAATTATAGAAACAGTTTTTTGTTCTTTTGATTTATTTTTCTGAAAACTTTGAGAAAAAATTTATGTTTTAAAAAAATTGAAAACAGAAAGTTGTACAAAAAATTCTCCTTGATTCAATTTCCTGAAAACTCAGTTATAAAAAAAGTTATCTGAAAAGTATTTTTTGTTCTCTGAATTCTTAAGAATTATTTTCAGAATTACAAATCAAGCATGCCCATAATATCTTTTATAATTCTCTAAAAATTGTTCTCTCCCAGAAGAATTACAAACCAATCATTCCCTTAATGACTCACGTTCTTTCTTTCTCTCTATGTATTATATATACATGCATCTACAAATTCGCTACGTCTCTCCAAAAATAAAGTGGCCAAAATCATACTCGCTGACTGAGTTGGCCACAAATAAGGAGAGCCACACCAACCCATTAACACTATACATTTACAAAATAAGAAAAATGTGAAACACATTGAATCTTTTCAAAGACCTTGAGCAAGGGAAGCTCATGTTAGTGCACTACAAATCTATTGAAGTGATTGAAAGAAATATGCAGATTTTGACAAGAGCCCATTTTTATTTTATTTTTCTTTTTGTTACGAGTGATTGCAAGCATGTTTTTTCTTTTTGTTACAAGTGATTGCATGCATGTGTGCGCTTGATTTTCTTTCCTCCATTCCACAGTAGTAGTATTCTCTTGAACACGGGCAGAACTGATACTAATAGAGTGCAGGTCCCACAAACCTTGTGATACATAAAGTCCAGTCATATTCAAATATAGTGATTCAATCATGAAACTATGGCCCGAGCCTCATTTATCGAGTCTCCGTACAAGTGTAATGGGTTTGAAGCACATTCTGTGATGCCCTATTTGATGAATTTATAATGACATCTTACTAAAGTACATAATCCCAATACATGTACCCTTTTATATCTGGATTGTATTAATACAACTTGCCAAGAAAACTTAGTGTAAATGGAAAGAACATTCTAGTCCAATCACAAAGGTAGCTGTGACAAATACACACACATGATCCATACCTTTGCTGCTAATGTCCACAACTACAGAACAGTCACAGATGACAGCGGGCAGACACCATAACAACAAGCTCTGCAATTCGACAACGACGACCAATTCAGCTACAGCCACTGCAAAGAAAACAAGTATACGAACTTGTGCAGATGCAATGCAGCGAAAAGCCCCAGATTTCATCAACTAAATAACTGCACTTGAAGGCCCAAGTTCATGAGCATAAATGAGGAACCATCTCAAGCTACCTATGCTGCTTTAACAATTAGCGCAAAAAAATGACATGCAACATTTTTTCAATCTCCTGAACATGTAGGTAAAACAGGTACATCATTCACTGGAATGAATACTCCAGTCAAAAAATGCTCCACTCACAACAACATAGTAAATATAGAGGAATACGCCAAAATTACGTGTTTGAGAGGCAGAAATGGAGAGAATGAAATTTTCTCTTGATTTTATTCCAGTAGTCCAAGGTACAAGGACCCATTGCTACAAAAAGAATAAAGAACCCTAGCAAGGGAAGCAGCAGACTTAAATCAAAAGTAGGCTAACTTAAATGCCCACTTTCCTAGCAATAATTGATTTGACTGTTAGAAAAAAAATTTACATCAAAGTCAATAACCCAAAATCTAACTTCTGATTGCAGGAAGATTCTCCGGCCAAAGATGGAAAAACACCTGGCTTGAGAACCCCACCATGGGAATGCCCCAATTTGAGGCCTGCACAAAGAATATATATATATATATATATATATATCTTCATCTAAACTTGTTAAGTTTCCGTGTTGTTAGAACCCCATCAAAGAAAACCATGTTAGCAAAGTTAGGTTCTAGAAAGTGCTCCAGGGGGCTGGCCAACTGGTGATCTACTCAATGCAACCTGCTCTCTGACCCTAGAAATGAAGGGCCTCTGACTTTCAGACGCTTTGGCCCAACCTCTTTGGGGGGTGATTCTCTCACTGCCTTTCCCAAATCCTGGTGGAATCTATCGCTTCTGAGGTGTTCTCTATGGTTACTCCCTGCATCCTCACTGGTCACTTTCTTAAACTTAAAGGTGATGGGAATGGTAGTTCCTCTGGCAAACCTGTCCATCAAACCACTGTCTGGAGCTTCTTTAGAATAAGTTACATTGGCACTCAAATCATGGCTAAAATCTCCAGTGGTAGAACAATCTGATGACATCAGTTGTCCACATCTTCCTTTAAATTGGAGTTTCTTTAGTCGTTTAAGGCCCTGTGGGAAATTTTTTTACTCGCATTAGTAAAACTTGTGAAGGGCCAGAATGCATTAGCATAGAACAAATGAAATATAAGTATCAATCAATAAAGAATGCATTGAAAAATAGAATCAATTATATGGATGGTGTTAGCAAACTAAACACCAAATTAGAAGTGGCTGGATGACAAATTTCTATTGAACTGGCACCATTCTCAACACATTGACAAATTTGTTTTACAGTTACATTACAAAATGAAGTGTTGGAAGTTGTTTAAGATGTTCCAAAGTTACATGGCATTACAGCTAATTGAATGGATACAACTGGTAGCACTTCATAATGTAGCTTCTATACAATTTATACCAAAAATGTCAATGAACCCGAAGACGATTGCATCAAAAGTGAAAACACAGCCCCAGTTGGTCATATTATCTTCATACCAAATATACAAACGTTTTTGCACATATTTATCTGCAAAAAGCAACAATGTGTGCCAACAAGAACTCACTGAGGGTCGTGGAGATTCTGAGGCTTTAAAACTAAAGACGGTTGTTAAAATTGAAAACAAATTTGATCAACTATCACTGGTTTTATATAAACATACAAGTCCGGGCTTCACCCAGTGGCCTAGTTGGTAGAGTGCCCAGCTCCCCCAGCGGGTGTACCCGTGTTCGAGTCCCCCTCCCCCTAGTTTGCAATGATAAATATATATATATATATATATATATATATATATACATATATAAACATACAAGTCCTGTTACCCACGCGCACACACACATATGTACATTGAATAAATTGATATGGACCAGCAAAGGTTGTAACCCGGTGGGTATCACCTCAACTTCCCAAAGTGGAAGGCTGAGGGTTCAAGTCCTCATAGGGACAAATTCTGAGGGTGTTATTTGCCAAGACAAAATAATAATTATTAATTGGCATGGAAGCACACCCTTTTCAGCTGACATAAACTTTACACAAGCAAGATAGCAACAATTTCATTGTCATTGACTCAACCCATTAGCAATTTCGGGTCTTTCCTCCTACACTTGATTTTAGGTACAAAGTTGATAAAGGTATTCTTCATTATGTTCCTCCAACTCTGACTTTCTTTTACTTGCTTAATGTATTCGACTTCCATAACCACCAAAAATTTATCCTACTATATGAAGAGAAGAGAAATTCACGCTTTGTGGCAACTAAACAGAGTCTTCTCCCCTACATTCCCAATGAATTGCCACTAATTTACATAGAGGTTTGCCTTGTTGTTAGAAACAAGGGAAAAAGTAAAAAGAGTAAAAAAAAATAAAAAATCTAGATAGGAAAAAAATGACTTACTTCACTCACAAGTTTCTTCTCATTTCATCATTGTTTTATATGGAATGACTTTCTGGTTTATAAGTTCCAAACAGAACCCCACCCCCACCGGAAAAAAAAAAATAATAAATAGAACCGACTTCTCAAATGATTCACTGTTTACTTCAACAATGAGAGCCACAAGACACATTAGCGAGCTTCTACAAAGAAGAACTCTTATACTGAATACTCTAGATAAGGCACGAAATTGTATCAGTCCATTCTAATCTCGATTTTCCTCAACTGCCAAGCTTGTCTTAAAGTATAAGTGCCATCTTACCCACACACGAAACAATTTTCAGATAAAAGAATAAAAGATGCAGGGTGCCTTATGAAAAGTTGGTGGCCAGAATCCCTGATCTTTCCACATTTCAAAATCAATCACCAGTATATTGCCACATCAGACCACAGTGAAGGACTGGAACCCATGATAGCATGCCTCCTACTAAAAAGAGTGCCTGAATTAGAAGTCATTGCTAAAATGTGTGGGACATCCTATGATTTTTATAAAAATGGATGAACACGTCATATCAAAAATTAACATTTTAGCTATCGAACAACTAAAACCAAGTTAAGGTGCTGCTAATGCTATTCTGGTGCTGACAAGGAAAAAGTTTAGGGAAAAAAAGGGTCACAGCCACAAATAAAAAAATATCTAGATTTAAAGGGTAAAGAAAAACTAAGCTCAACAAGGGGAGTGGGAGAGGGTATTAAAATTCATGCCACCCGCAACGTGCTTTAGTCAGACTATACCCTAGTTGCCTTGCAAAGCAAATAACTTACTCTTTTCCTACACAACATTATCACTTCCCAGGCTTTATAAAATAATGCATGATATATTACATATTACATAACATAAGCCTTTAGAGAAACAAAAAAAAAAACAATTAGTTAAGAAACATGCTTGAAGAGGAATGACATCTTCTGCAACTTGAATAACTTAAACAACCCAGTCAACTTTGGTCAGATTGATCCTGTGCTCAAGAGAGCATTGTTCCATACTCTAACAAATGTCAAAATACCGATAATTCATATTACCTTAGTACATAAGAAACTAAAGTCAAACATTACAGTCATTTGTTTCTTTCTATTCTATGAGAAATTTCTTTAATTATGCAAGATTGAGTCTATTGGTAGTATACCATATAGAATCAGCTTTAGCACGTCTTCAATTAATCTGCTCACTTAAAAAAAAAATTGTTTTCTATCTAGTTTCTCATGGAAAAAATTTAAATTCAAGGGCACAAAGTAAATTCTAGGGCATGCTTTGGGGAAACAATAATCTTTTCCATGCTGGCAAATACGTCAATCGCTATAAAGGTAGGAACATTAACATGAGACAAGATAATCAAGATTTCACTCAACTTCAGCCCTATCAGAAGATCATCAGAAAACATCCAGGAGGCGAACAAGCCAACCTCCATTCATGATAGAGCATTTTTGATCTTCAAATTGAGCTCTAACTCAATTAAGCTCAAAACATTCTTGGTGCCCGTCTCCATATTAATTAATTTGTTTATTTTTTAATATAATTTAATTTAAAATAAATTTAGTTGAATTAAATGAATAATCTAGTATTAGTGTCCTGAACTGGATAACTATATTTTATAAGGAAATTAGGTAACAGTAGGTACAAAACCATATACGTTTACATACAAAAATAAAGCACCTGATGGTTATATCTAATACAACTTGGAGACTTAAGAATTTAGGAGCTAAATATCTTGATAGAGACCCACTAAAAGTTACATCCATGTTTCCACATAATGGAGAAGTTAGCCCCGATATCTCCATGTGGTAGATTACTACTAAGAGAAAGAGAGAGAGAGAGAGAGATGCTAGAAGGGAAGAGAAAGACCACAGAACGTGAAAGAGAGAGAAGGCAAGAAAGAAAAAAAGAAGAATTCTCTACAAGGATTTGAGGTATGATTTTATTCTCTCATCTTTACATATATGTTGGATTTTGCTATTTACATGTTGATATCATACCTTTTGAAAATAAAAAACATGATTATTGCAATTGGATTTAATGGAAATTATGTATGTGCTATATGGTGATTAACATGAAATTTTAATTTGAAAACATGTACGAAATCCATAATTGTTTCAAATTGTTGTAATAAATGAATTTACTAAAAAATTGACTCATGGTATGTGGGATATTTGCCAGGGTTCATGATAGCAGAAACCTGATTACAACTAAACAGTTGAGTGCCTGTTACACAGGATGTACAACCACCACGTGGGGTTCATAGGAGGGATGCCACCTGCAGAAGGGATCTTTTACCACATGAAAATAAAAAACATGATTATTACAATTGGATTTAATGAAAATTATATGCTATATGGTGAATTACATGAACTTTTAATTTGAAAACATGTACGAAATCCGTTAATTGTTTCAATAAATGGATTTACAAATTTTTTTGACTTTGGTTGTGGTGGGCATTTGACAAGGTCCGTGATGGCAGATACCTTACTGAGAGCTAAACGGACAAGTGGCTGTTGTACACAAAGTACACAACAATGTGGGGTTCATGGGGGGGATGTCTTTCAATGTCACATAACACATGCAAGAGACTGGTTAATTAGTGAAAGGAAAATTAAAAATAATTTTTACTAAAAGAGATGGTTTTTGAATAAAAATTGAATCCATTTGTGTATTGTTGTATGAATTTGGGATGACTGGTTCCTACTGGGCTACCCAAAGTGATGCAGGAGCATCAACGAGGCTCTCCAAGACTAATCAAGCCCACTAGCCAACTAGGCTTGGATTCTAGTTATCTTGGGGTTTTAGTTATTTGCTTATTTTCTATATGTCTTATTTGATTTTTATGTTTTATGTTATTTGGTAGATGATAGTTATAGTCCTAGTCTTTATAAATGGTCATGTGACTGTAATGTGATTTTTTTTAAGTACTTTGGAGAGTTAAGATTTATTAGTTATTGAAGTAAGCAAAGGCCAGGATGCTAGGGCTGCTGTAACCCTAGTATAAATAGTCTATTAAGAGACTTTGTATGCAATTTTTATTCCAGAAAATCAGATTTAGAGTTTCTCTAGGTCTCTTTGCCCTATAACTCACCTATCTACGTTCCCACTTCAATTCTATTGCTTTATCTCTGTTTTCTGCTTGTTTATTGCTGGAAATCCTTTTCTTTCGTGGTTTTGCACTGTTACAGCTGCCAGACAGCAGCTTATCGCTACTGCCCTGCCCCACAAAGCTCATTCCCAACATTCTTTATCAGATTGGCATGAACAAGGAGAGCAAAAGGAATGAAAGAGAATTGGCATACTAAAAAAAAATCTAGTCAATTCAGTGATACTTCGACTTTTGGGAAACTAGGGATAAATTTAGTTATGAAATATTTGTTTATGGAATTCCTTTTGGTGATTATTTTTGTTACATTTATTCATGTTTTGTAGTTTATGCATTGATACTGTTTGGCATTCCGAACAACTTAGATTTTAAAATTCATAACTTCCTACAAAAAAAGTCAATTTAATTTGAAACAGGTTGGATTTATTAGCTAAGAGAGACATTACTACCTTATAGTAAAATTTAATGAATTTTAAACAAGGATTTCTGTTTTTGGTGAATTATGCAATGTGGCACAACTGCAGTTATGTTATGAACTGTGCTGCATATTAGTAAACTTTATTGAATTATTTTAAGGAGCTGAGAATATTACCATTTATATATGCTTTGAAAGCTTAGAAAATCTATTTTCTGAAAATGAAAATATCGAAAATAGATTAAAATTAAATAACTCCCCAAATTAAAAAAAGACCAATAGGCATTTCCTGGCAGCAAGCATGTGCCAACTTTGAAATTGATAAATAATTATTAAATGGCATTTCTGTACAGTTTAATTATTTTTCCTAATACCATAGATGTTTGTAGTATTCGAGAATAACATTTCACATAAATTTAGTGAATGGTTTTTTAGATATTAATTTTTGAAGACAGAAAGGTTGTTCTGGACAGTTTTGTTGGGAATTTGTTTAAACTTGGAACTAGACCGTTCAGTTTGTGTTAAATGATGCAGTTATGATTGTTAATCACCCCTCAGGTAAAACTTATCACGAGGTTCAGAATGTGAAACAAGAGTACATCACAAACCAATATAAAAGGGATCGAATCAGATGACCTTTAATAGAAGCCCATTAAGATCATTCCTAAGTGAATGCATGCCAAGTATCCTTGTTTAGATCTCCTTAATTTCACATCAAGATAGACTAACATACTACTCTATTAAGCTTGTTTAGAACCTTGCTGAAAGTCATATGCTGTCTGAAGGAAAGTTGAATCAGAAGAAACAATTATAATGATAGTAAATGTGGAGTGCATACTCTTTGGCAACGTTTAAAGTATATAATGAACCTGCAATGATAGTAATTCAGAAAATGCAATCCTGTAGATTCTTCGTATCTCTCAGAAAAAGGAAAAACAAAAAATTAAATTCATTGTCTGACAAGAAGCTATGCTAATTAGAGTGAAAAGTCAAATAACTGTCTTGCTACTTCCCAATTGGTGGAAGACTTTATCAATGGGTCTTCCAATTTGTTAATAAGGCATATCTTGTCTAAAAAATTACTTAAATGATACCTTTATTTCAATGTCTTCCATCTACTTTACTTTTGACTGGCGGAGTTCGAGGTTCACAAAAATAATTAAAACAAAGGGCCTCGAATTGTCACAGGGTTTACAGTCAGTCTATTTGTGAACAATTTCCTGTTCATATAACTTTCATAAATCTAAAGGCATTTTCAAGTTTTATGGTCTAGATGAAGTTTTCCTTCAAGAGAGCGAATTTCCAATCCTAAGAAAATCCTAGAAAAGGAGAAACTGAAATTTTGGTTGGTTACATTAGGACTAGTCTAGAATGCACATAGGTACAGTCAATCCACTCAATCCAAATAGTGTAAAATCTAGACGGTTAAGCTTGTGTTAGTCCCAAGTCAGGCAACTGATGATAATATATTCTTTACCATCTCATAACAATAAAAGTTTGTTTTTGATAATGAAAGAAATGAATATAGTAAGAGCATTTTGTGTGAGACTACTAATAAGTTCTAAAGTCACCAACAAAGAAAAAGAAAACATACTAGAAAAAGAAATGGGTGTCTATCTAAATCCATAAGGGGAGATTATCTGGATGCTTAAGAAATCCTAAGACTGAATCCAAGACAATCAGCATCACATGCTGAATAGAAATTAAGCATCATAATAATAATGAGAAAGTGGATGCCAGTAATACCTGGTGTTCAATTTTTGGCAATATGGCATCATTCACATTTCTTTGCACCACTTTCATAGAAGAACGCCGTTTGACCCTAAATATCTCTGAATCAGACTCATCACTTTCCTTATCCACGATGGGCCTAAGCTCTGATTCTTGAAGATTAAATTGACGAGTACCCAAACTCTCATAAGTGAGAGAGGATAGCAAAGATTCGGAGTCATGGTGAGGTGCTTCTTTAGAAAACTTTGTAGATACAAGATCTCCTAAACTTGGGTTACCATTCCGCCGTACCTGCTGCAAAGATAAGAAAAACAATAAATTTAAATCAGAAAAAACAACACTTCTTATGAAGTGCTTATTTCCTAGAACAGTGACAAAAAGTGTGGCTACATGTGGATCTTACATCGTTGGCTATAGAAAAGCTTTCAGATTGTTCAAGAAAAGAACAAAGCGTTGATGCAGCACAAGAAAGGGAATCATCTGATTCTTCAGCTTTAAAATTTTCTGAACCACTTCTCAACATAGGTTCACCCCGAGAAACACACTCAGGCTTTTGGGACTGATACTGATTTTTAGCAATCTCCAGGTCCAGTTCAAAGTTTATCACACAGTATGGAGTGTATCCATCCTCTTCAACTCTTGGAAACATATCTGATAGAAGAAGCAAGTCATCACCACTTCCACATTGTTGCTGAACCTTATATCCTATGCCTTCTTCTTGCTCAAACTTCTTGGCTGCAGATTCCATATCTGAAATATCCTCCCTCAAAAACAGAGTATGATTGCCCCCGCAAGGAAAGTCAAGCAACTTGATCTCTGGGTTGAACAGACAGGATCAACAAGACTAATCAGCAGGACTCAAAAAAAGAAGGGAAAAGGCAACACTTCAAGGAAAAATATATTTACGCAATTATTGACAACATACCATGACGAAGGCACACAGGATGCAAGTAACAGTTGCAACCAATGTATGCTACATAACAATCACGTTTGCATAGGCTACAGAGAATAGTTCCATGGGAAATTGAAGAAACACCTGTACACGCCCTCGATTTCATTAAACACCAGCGAGCACGGTGCTGGAATCGCATCAAATTTACAAAAGAAACCTTAATACTAATGTGACAGAGCAAGTCTACAGATGAATAATCTGTATCTTCAAGTTCCAACCCTGTATGGAGAAGCATTGCTTCTTTGCAGAGGAGCTCCTCGTGAGGAAGGAGAGGCATCCTGTTAAGAAAGGCATAACGTCGGCTAGCAATTGATCCCAAAGGGAACCAATCACCAATTGCAAAGTTTACTGCCTCGCCACAATTAAAACCTGAATTTAAAGGGAGAAAAAAAATAAAGAAAATTACATAAAAATCATATAGTGATAATCCATGAGAAGAAGAAGAATAGGATGAAGAGGAAGAAAATACAAGAAAAAATGAGAAACTAAGAACTTCATCAAACATATTAATGATATTCTTTTAGTTTAAACCCAGCCTGTCGGACATGCAAGTAGTGAAGAAAAATCTTACCATGACTAAATCCTGCATGATATGCTCTAGGGAAGGTTATTATGAACTCCCCAGGCTTTTGCACTGCCTTGTAGACAGGGACATCATGTTCTACCAAGATATTTGGAGGAAACAAAGTTGTTTTGCCCAAAAGCACATCAAAAGCTCCATCCTCTCCATCAGCCGATAGAATATCATGAGTATACACATGCTTCTGCACCACATTTTCAAAATCCAAAGCTGCATGACCAGGAATCCCATACCAAGTTTTTGCAGCCCCGCAGTGATGATAATTAATACTGCAAATGTATAAGGTAGCATAATATAAATAACATTATACATCAGAACATAAATTAATTATTTATACATACTGCATTATAATTCTTAACACATTGCATTTGAGGAAGAGCAAAATTTACCTATACAAGTAATGATCTTCCACATGCCAAGCAAACATACTAAATAGCATCCCGATGTAAAGCATTGGTTCAGTAACGCCCTGAAAAACAAACACAATATTAGTCAAAACCAGAAGGAATCTACAACCAAGAAAGGATCGGTTATCTCACTACCGGAATTGTTGTTTCTAGAAGACGTAAAGTAGACTTGGGCAACCGAGAAAGTTTCTGAAATCACAAAAATAAACAATGCACTAGAATTAGATAATGAAGCAAGGTTAAAAAAAAAAAAATTTGCTAGGACAATCGCATTAGAAAATTAGAGTTAGATGATGATTGGCGACAGAAGAAAAAATACAAAGTATCAAAGTTGTGTAACCCCAGCAAAGTGGGGAGGGGGAATGGAGAGAATAGATTTTAAAAGGAAAATTTGAAAGATATAGAAGACAAGATGAAAAAAAGGAGGGGAAGATGAAAAAAGAGTTGGAAATTACAATTTGCAGGGAAAATAATGAACAATATACTACATCAGGAAAGTAAATGCTAAACAAATGAGAACACACCCAGAAAATTGTCGTAATAGCATGGTGGACACCTTATTCAACATCAAGATGAAAAAAGAAAAAAAATTATACCCAGAAAAGCACAAATATATATACATAAATATAAATAAATACGTAGTACCAAAAAAATTAAAGATATGACGTCCAAATTTGCAATTTAAATTCATAAAACCTACAGGAAGAGGACAGCCAGATATTAACACCAAGCATATTCTGTTCTTCTCTTAGTCGAAGATTTGCCTTGGTATCATGTTAAATTTTCTGACAAAACCTCCATCAGAAGAAACCATAAAAAGGGAAGAAAAGGGGTAGCAAAATCAACACCTTAAGGTTACATTTGCTTTTTCCAAGCTGATCACTGGGAGAAGATGAGAAGGCACTCCCATCAACATCACATGCATATTCAACACTTTCCGTCTTTCCACAAGCTATTTCATGCCAAAATTCTTTTTCCAAGTATGTGGCAGGAAGACATCCAGAACTACAATATCTACGTGCAAAAACCTTGTTCGCCATTTTCTCGAAATCACGAAATGTATAATTTCTGAAAATATAACACTCCTACTCAAATCCTGAAGATATATATCCATTGAAAAATCCCTATCTCAATTCAACAAGAAACTCACCTCCCACTCATGAAGAAAGTGACCTTATCATCGGAATCCCACTCAGCAAGACGAAGGGGTTGTACTCTAGTTGTAAACTTAAAACCTGCTTTCTCTTTCATCAATACTATACCAGCAGGAACAGAAGCACTCAAAGGGGAAACAATCTTGCATATACCTGAAGAATGGAAGAATAAATTCAAAGAGGAAGAAGAGGTAACAATTCCATTAATACAATATTTGATCAAAGCAGCATGGTAGCATATACTTCAGAAACTAAATCAGATGAACTGAAGCAACTATAAAGACAGAAGGAGAGAAGTTATTTGAATCTAGAAATCACACCACGCAATAACAGACAACATAAAGTGGAGAATGCCATTCACTGAAGTAAAATTATGTAAGTACTTTCAACAAAGAACAATGCATTGAAGCGTTCATAAGCTTGGAAAAATTATGTATATACACACAAAAATGTGAATGAAAAGTGGGACATTACAGATTAGATAAGCCGAAAAATATTTTGGAAATAAGTAGATGCTCAAATTAGAGAAAAACCAAAAGAAAAGAGGATGTAACATAATTTGGAGGAGAAGAAAGCGAAAGAAGATGTGTGCTGCCAAAAGTGAAGGTATGGCAAAAGAAGAAAAAGAGAGCCTTCGTTGAAGTAATCCATATCAGCAGGCATGTTTGGTGAACTATTGCATGTAAAATATGCATGAAAGATATTTGACATAAAATATCTCAAATACCTGAAAATCAATATATTTTTGGTATGTAGGCCAACAACAATATAATCAAAACAGGCAAAACCAAATATAAGCATATCCAATGATCAATGGACATCATACATCAGTTAAGCATATCCAATGATTAAAGGACAACATATATCAGTAAAAACATCCAACAGTATCTTTACATGTGTTTCCTTCTATAGTAAAATGAACTAGCATTTTGGATCTGTATCCAAAAACAATTTCTAATTTAACCTGAGCTCAACTTTGTAAAATAAGAACAGTGAATTTTACAAACTATGCTGCTCTCTGTTGATCTGCGAAACAGAAAATTTTCTTTAAAAGGTTCAGGGAAAAGACAACCAAAACTCAACCAAACTCCCTGACAATATTTTCAGGAAACAAAAAGAAAAGAAAAGAACTTAGGAAATGGAACCAAAAGCATCGAACAATTCTTAGACGGTGAAATTGCAGCTCATTTTTCTTGAGAACTTCAAATTCTAGAACTGATATACTATCAGAATAATAAATTACTTGAACAGATAAAAAATGATAAGGGACAATACCATATCTTGAAGCTTCTGGAGCTATCATTTGAAGATAAGCCAAAGGATCCTCAAACTCCTCTTTACTCGGAAAGAATACAGGACACTCTGGAATTTTATCAGTCCATTCTAGATCATTTATGTCAAATTTAGCAACCTTGTGCTTTAAAAAGACATCCTTCTCATTTGAAGCACCACCAGATCTAGAAACTGTATCTGCACTGCCATGTAACCTCATACCACATGATTCTGAAGCTCGTAAAGCATCTCCTCCACTCCTAGGCATCATGTTAGAGACATATACCGAATCTGCCACAGCTTCTGGCTTCATACGCTGAAGCCTTTTACGCTTTAGAAATTCTAATTTAGCCTGTCTGGAGGAACAAACCCTTCCTTCCACCTGTCAAAAAAGTAAGCATACAAAGCTCAGATCAAACATCAAAAGATTGGATGTCAGAAATATACAAGAGCATAACTTCCTTTTCCTTCCACGCCTTTTCCTTGAAATGTTAAAGAAGATAGTATACTCGGATTGTATTATTTAAGTGCTTATTTATTAAAAAAAAATATTCGGATTAAATTGTCAACTTAATCCCAACTAAGGTGCATATCAACTCGGAATTGACTTATTGCACCAACATCTAATTGCAATGTTAAAGCCACAACATATCATATGAAGCTACCAACATATATAAAAAGCTGGATACATCCCTGGAGTCGATGTGCAGTAACTGATGTAAGATGATAAAATAAAATTCTGCCAATAATTCCAGAGAAACTTCAAAAAGAAAATCAACAATAGGAATCTTCAGATTGATCCATCAAATTTCAATTTTCAACCAACAAAAAGATTTTATAATGATTACCTACTTAAGTAGTCCAACTTGATGATGTTCAATTTAAGTCAACTCAACTCATCCTTTTCCTAATTATTTGGTATCAGCTACATTCCCCTTGTCTAGAATGATTACTTCAGTCAAAACCATATGTCATCATATCCTTTCTTACTATCTCAACCTTTGTCAGTCTTGGTTTTCCACTCCATCCCATAGACATACACAGGGACGGACTTACGTGGGTGGAATTTCTTTTATTTCTATTATATACCTACAATTTTTGTTAAAATCCTAAAACTTCACCACTATTTTTTTCAAATATAAATACTTTCCCAAATTTACTTATCAAAAAAATATATATATATAAATACTTTCCCCCTCTAAAGAGTAATCAACACTCTCTCTCTTACTCACCCTCTCCCACTCTCTCTCCAATTTTATTGTTATAGTTCCAAAGAAAACAAAATCTTATTTAAACAAATAAAGTTTACCTTTCTTCTATAGCTTGTTTGTAGTTTTTCCGCTTTTTCACAGGGAAAAAAACTTTTTTGTTATTTTAATTTTGAATGTCTATCTTTTAATAATTGTATAGATGGCCCTGCAAAATAATAAAAATACCGTTGATCTTTTAATTATAAGTAGCAAATAGGTGTCAGAAGTGGTATTTGAACCCAATACCCTTGATCTTAAAACCCAACACAAAGACGAAGAGAGAGAGAGAGAGAGAGAGAGAGATGTATGTTTACGCAACTTGTGTTTCTGAAAGCTGAGAACTCAACTAATACAATTATAAATGTATTGAATTGAAATATTATCAATCAACATTTATACTTTTGTATTTATAACTTGGTTCAAAAAAATATAAAATACTATTATTATTCAAGGTCGCCCCCACTAAAAAAAATATTTGGGTCTGTCACTAGATATATATCACATCACTTTTCCTTATTGGTGTAGTTACTATTTTCACTACACATTGTCGAACCACCCTACTTGATTATTTCTCAGTTTCTCTCCCATGGATGTTACTTCAATTGTTTCACAACTATGTTTATTTCTAATTATATCCATTTCAACATTCACATTTCAACCAAACTTATTATATGAATATGTTGTTTCTTAGCAACCCAACACGTTTCCAATCAAGTATGGTCATTATAAGCCCAACGAAGTCTTTTGGTAGCTCAATCTCCACAGGAGATACCACCTAACAATGATGATGGTCAATGATGGAACCAGGAAAAAATTGAGAGGGAACGGCCTTGAACACAATAAAATAAAATTTCAAACTACCATCAGAAACACAAAAACAAAAAACAAAAACTTTAAAATTAATAGATATTTTGATTAAAACTTGCTCATACTTCCATTTCAATTAGTTTTTCAGGTAAATACTTTCATTTCAATTATTAAAAGCTAACATATTAGGAAAATTTTAGGTATTTTATATAGATGAAGATAATTTTAATAGGGGCGACCAGTATGTATAGGGTGTTTTATAAATTTACAAAAAAAAAATTAGTAGGAGTATGATTAAAATTTTAGCAAACTTTTAGGTGCATAATAAAAATAAAGAGAGTCAGTGGGGGCTGGCTACTTGATGATGGTGATGATCAGTACTAAAATACATTATTTTTTATTTGGTATAATAATGCTTCATCCGATCAAATAGAGGAGAACTGAAAGGAGGACAAGGTTGAAAAAAATGAAAAATAAGTGAGGGGAAGTCAACCGCCTTTGACTGTTACGCAATGAGGACGCAAGGAAAGAGAGAACAATGCATATATTTTTTTTAACCATTACATTTATACCTTTGCATATAAAACTACCTACCAAAAAAAAATTATTATATAAAATATAGTGGAAGAACAGACAGGTAAACTTACCCCCCCCCCCCCCCCCCCCCCACTCACCAAAAACAGAAAAATGAATTTTCCTTATTTCTTCTATTCCTGTATTATATCCACTTTACGTGAATTGATTTTAATGCTCCCATAGGGATTTACTCCCCTTCACTTTTCCAGCCCCGGCAAACAGTGGATAATGTATCCACCCACTCCCTTTTTTCTCCTCTCAGTTATCCTTCCTAAACATAGCATAGCAATGCAACCACTACTTGGTAACTAATTAAAATGACAAATACAACCCATTTAGTTGACTTTCAAATGCAGCATTTCAGAGACGGCAGAGTACTAACGACATAGTTAATGATTTGATGTCTGTCAAAACACAGCATGAGTGGTTCCTTAAAAAAAACAGTAATCAGCATTTTGTGCACTGAGCTACAGGCTACAGCAAAAATAGAAGGGTGGCATTTAGGGGGGAAAAAATAGAAGGGTGGCGTTCACTGTGTGTAATAATCAAATCAGAAGTCAGAACATGTACATCTACTTATTGCTGTGAAACTAATGAAAGACCAAATATATATACATACATGACACTGAAACTAACGGAAGAATCACCTCAACTAGCAAAATTCATTTGAAAAGCAAAAAATTAATTCAAAAGATCAAGAACTGGCAGTTAGAAACAAGAAACAAATGACAAGTATTATGCCGCAGAACAAGATCTTAAAGTAAATTGGATTCAAAGGTCCTTCCTAGATGCTTATAGGCAGAACATAATAATGGTACGTGAGGGAATTGCATCAACAGGCACATGCATAATTTCTCCAAATTTTCAACTAAATCAGTGAATTAATCATAGAAATGAGGCAAATTAACCACATTGTTTCTGAGACACCCTGAATTCCATGTAACTCATGCAGATTGAAACATATGATGCTGTATGTCAATTTCCAAGTAATAAATGCAGATTAAATCATATGATGAAGGCATCACAGTAGTCCAAGTAAACGGCAAGAAGAAATCATCTGCTGACTAACAATACTGGCAGTGCAATATCCATGCTCATGGTGCTGCACCAAATTTCATGCCTCGGTAATCCTTGGCCTATGATGATTGGAGGGAAGGAAGGGGAAGGGATGGAGGAGAAGAGTGGTGGAGCAGTCTTCCATTGTTTGGTAGAGAGAGGAAGAGGGGAAGGATGGGAGGAGGGGTGAAGCATCCCTCTGGGCCCAATATTTTGCTTACGACTATGCAGAGTTCTATGTTTCCAGTAAATAATCTCCTGGGCCTGGTCGCTAAAAGTTGCGACCGTGAAAAATTAAATATTTGTTGGATAAAGTCAAAAAGAAAAGTGTATTGGTTTTCTAAAAAACAAAAATAAGGATGACCTTCCCCATCCCTCCCACCCAACCAATCAAAAGGAAGGAGTGGAAACCTCCCTTCCCTAGTGATGCCTCTTCCATCCTTCGCCTCCTATCCCTTTCATTCATTTTTCCATCCATCATACAAAACATACCATAAGGGACCTCATACAAATAACTATATATCTCTACCCATCTAGAGAAATCAAAGGGTAGTATGCGTCAGTCGGTAAATGAGTATTATTAAGATGGCAAAAATATATTAAATCCCAAAGCTGGCATAAGTAATTCAGAAGGAAACGAGTTACACCACACTAGTATTCATTTCTGCTTATGGGAAGTTGTGGAATACAAACAGAGAATTGGTTACAAAATCATTTTCTATATTTCTATAACTTTAGACTTGGATAACAATATATCACTTCTGTGCACATCAATGTAATTCAAAAAATAAACAGATTTAGACTAAATGCTTATTAAACTGGTGGCTTTAAAAATTGATATATACCCTACATATCTGAAGATCAAAATATTATATTAACCAATTAGACCTCATCAATTTCTAGCTGTCTAACAGCAAAAGAAACATGATAAATGACAGTCAAACGGACTCATGATGGATCAGGTATGTAAGATCAAATCACTTTTTGCCATATCAGTGTAAGATGGGGAATTGTGGGGAGTCTCACAAACCAGAAACATTATTTACTACTTCCAATTTTTTTTTTTTTTTTAAAGTCTCAATTTTACCTGAATAAGCACAGATAGGTATAATATAACAAACATATGGGACTTGATTATATTGCACCCAAAAGAATGAAAACCCTTTCATAACACCATTTTGAAGAACATTTTCCTTGATTACTACCGAACACCGTGACCTCTTCTCACTTATCAAAAAAAAAGAAGACCTCTCCTGGCCTGAATCAGAACTACATTTATAAAACCGAAAAAAATATATAAAAATAAAGAAGTGTTTTACCATAAGAAACAACAAATTTACAATTCTCAAATCTACTAAATACACCCACAATTTTCGTCAGAAACATGAGGTGGAATGATCTCTATTTTCTATTATTTTCTATTTTGTTCAGATCAAGGTCAGCGAAAAAATTAATATATATATATATATATAACGATATATATATATATTACAAATTAAAGCAATATACTACTCCGTAATATATATGAGCAGATACATAAATAACGATATGTATCATCTGTAGAAGAGAACTTTGAGAAAACCCATAAAGCATATGCAAATTTAGAACAATGTTGAAAGATCCGAACAACAGAAGAGAACTTAAGAACAAAATGCATCAATTCCTGAATAAAGAACGAACCATTTCATTACGAAGTTCTTCTCTGAACGACTCCGTCTTCTCAATTCGCCGAAGAAACAAACAAAGAAGCAGCCAACAAATAACCGAATCAAAAAATACGAAAAATCCAAACCCTAGACCACAATCTCAGGCATGAACGATCCCAAAAACGCCCTCAGATTCGCCACATTCTCGCGAAACACCACGAACCGAGTCAAACTCAGAGATCGGCCAATTCCAACCAACCGAGTCACCAACTCTACGTGGAGAAAAAGAAAATGAAAACGAATAAGTGAGAGAAGAAAAAAAGAATTTCTCGGCGACACTCCGGAGGGTGTTCGCCGGCGCAGAGGTGGTTTCCCGGCGAATATAAGAGGTTTTCCGACTAGAGGAAGTGATAAGAATTTTTTAGAGAGAGAAAGAGGTAGAGAGAGAGGAAGGAGGAACAGTAGATGGAATCCACAAGTATGCCTTTAGAAAACCGAAAAAGAGAAAAGAGAGGATAATTTATTATAGTTTTATTATATGTATATATGTGTGTGTATTAACGCCGTTTTTTAACCAAATGCCTTTGGAATTACCGAATGAGAATGTACAAACAAGCTGTTTTTGGAAAGAGACAATTTGAGAGGATATGGATTTTAGAAGGAATTTTCAATTTACCTTTTACCAAAAGTATATAATAATTTTTATTGTTTGGAATTGAAAAGTGAAAACAATATAAACATAATTAGATTTTATGAGATTTTTGTATATTGAGATTCCATATAACTATGATTGCATTTCAAATTTATTGTTTGGAATTGCTGACAATAGAAACTATGTAGAGAGGCGATATTGGCAATTCACTTTTCTTCAATTGTATTTTTTTTTTGTTTTTTTCTTTAAAAGGAAATAAGGAGGTCCTTAAATTTATTAATGCACAATCATTTAATTTATAATATCATAACTACCTTTTATAAAACTTTAACTTTTTTTTTACCTTCTTTACTTTTTTTACTCTTTTTTACTTTCTTTACTATTTTTTTTCCCTTTCTTTTTGTTTTATCCAATATACCTAAAGAAAATAATTTATTCCATACTAATAATTTTATTTTTGGACGTCAAAAGAGATAATTTATTCCCTAGTGACTTTTTTATGGTACAATCAAAAGAAATATTTATTTAACAAAATTTACTTTTTTTCAGTCCTGTCAAAAGAGGTAACTTTTTTTTTTGATATTTTTTTATGGGTCCCGTTAAAAGAAATATTTTATTTGATAAAAAAACTTTTTCTTTTTTTTTGGTCTTATCAAGAGAGAATTTTTTTTTTTTTTTTTTTTTTTTAATCTTGACAAAAGAGATAATTTCTTTAATAAATATATTTTTTGGGTTTTTTTTTCATGTCAAAAGAGATAATTTTTAGTGGTTATTTTTTATTTTTTTGGTCCGGTCAAAATGGGCAATTTATTCAATATATATATATATATATATATATATATATATATATTGGTCTAATAAAAAAAAAATTTATCTGTCTTGTCGAGAGAGACCTAAAATATTAAAGATTAGAGAAAAGGAGATGAGAAATTTGGACAGTTATGTCATTTAAAAAGTAATAATTATTTACTTGTAAAGTTAGAGTTAGAATTGTCATTTTATTTAAGAATGTAGTGCAAACGTTAAAAAAATAGAATCAATGAATTATTATATTATGATTTCAATAAATTTGGAATTGATAACAATAGAAACAAAATTATATTTGATGGGATTTTTGTATATTGAGATTCCATATAAATATGATTGGATTTCATAAAATTTTTAAAAAATTACAGTTTTACTCATATATTTTTTAAATCACAATTTATTCAAAAAAAAAAAAAATTGTCAATATATTCTAAAAAGTAAATAAAATTTTCATTTTCATATCTTTCATTTTTCTTTTTTGAAAAATTATTTCAATCCAATTTTACTTATTTCAAATGATTCCTCGTACAAGATTTTAGCTATGACAAGGTCTGGGAAGAGTCTTACGAACACACTATATTACTCCTGCGCAAGAGTGTCTATTTTTGTGTCGATATTACAGTTACCATTGCACTAAGGTCCATACTTAAAATTCATTTTTTCCATCTATCCAAAATCTATTATTTTGTTTCAGTCAGGGTAAGTTTTTTTTTAATAATTATGAAATTAAATGAGTTTTAATTTTAATTTCACAAACCAATAATAATGAAAAGCAAATGAGAAGGAAAAGTGGTGGTGTGATGGTGGTTAGGTAATTTGGTTCAACCAAGTGCAGAAACGAGTTCTATCTTCATAACAAACTGTTTGGACTGTTCACCAAATCACACTTTTATGACGATAATAACCCTGGATAAAGGTGGAATTTGCGCAACCAAAAAGTTTACATGCAAGCGACTTGGAGAGTAATATCATAAAAGGCTCTCTCTCATTCATGGCTCGTGTTGTTAGTTATTGAATGAAAAATGCGTGTCACTATCAATCCTATTTGAATCAAAATCATAAATATCTCTATCAAAAAGTGTTTTTTACTTAAAATTTTAAAAAATAGAAAAATAAAAATCGTTCTATACACTCCGTTTATTTAGAAGTAAAATATTTTTTATTTTTTTAGTATTTGGTTGTCGTAAAATAATTACGAAGAAAAAAAAATAAAAATTTAACAAAAATAACTCACTTATTAATTTTTAACAAATTATTTTACACATTTCGCCCAATGAATTTGACTCAGTATCGACTTAAACATTTATAAAAAAAAATATTTTATGAGAAACAAATGGAGCCTTAATTTAAAATCAAATCAACCCAATAAAAATAGGTTATGTTATTTTACAAAAGATGTGAAATTACCTTGTTTTTTCAAAGAATGATGCTATTTGATGTAAAAAAAAATTCAAAAGACAAGAATGTTAGGCGTCTTAATTACTCCGATAACACAACACTTACTCAAAATATATCAAAGTTACAGAATGTCATTTTGTTGGAATTAAGTTCTACATAAAATTTTAAAGATCTTTACAAAAAAAATAATAATAATAAATAAATAAATACTCTTAAAGAATCATGACACGATTGGGTTTTAGAAATGGGTTCCGTTCACCTCACTCTAACCTACCTTTCGGTTAGTTATGCATACCAGCGAAAAGACGGTGTTCTCCAAGTTGGTCCCTCTTTTAGTCTTGTTGAATGAAGGGTAGTTTTGACTTTTTAGACAGTTTATCTAAAAAGGAAGCACCGAAAGAAGTTCCGTAATGACGGCAAGTGTCATTACGGTAATGAAACGTGGTGATGCAAATTCACTTTCTAATGACACGTGGTCCAATCACAATCAGAAATGTAAAACGTCGTCCAATGACAGTTGGTAAAGTCTGCACGTGGCAAGAGGGCTCACCGTGAGCGCGATCTCGCGGGAAATGGCAAAACTGCCAGAAAGGAAATAGCTGGCGGGAAACGGTTACACCAGATTTCACGCCCCCTTCCCTTGTGACCGGGCCTGCTTTCCTCTCTCACATCTCACGGGATTCCCTTCTCTCTCTCTAGACTTTCTCTCTCTATATTTATCATATTATATATGTATGTGTGACTGCGTGTAACGTCCCTCTCATATTTGTGTTACTTTCTTCTCCCTCTAACTTCCTATTGGTTGGTTGTCATTTTATTTTGTGGAGGTTGGTCTAATGATTAGTTTCCATAGTCGGCGAAAACGAAACTTTGAAGATTTATATATTTTACCTCACCCAAAAGAGAAAAGAAACGGCTGTGAAGATTATATATGTGTGTGTATATATATATATATAGTAACTTGTAAGTCCTAAGTACTATTAAGAGTCTTTGGTCCAACTTTTTGGGCTTTGTTTGAAATCAAATTCTTACTTGATTTGAACTTCGAAAAGGAAAAAGAAAATTATATTAATTTTATTTGTGTGTTTGGAATAAACTGAAATTTAATTATTATAAATAAATTATTCATTTTATCATTTTGTTTGAAGGCCAATATTATCTTTCATTAGAAAGAGCGTAATTTGGGTAAAATATTTGGTGAAACTAAAAATTAAGTAAATAAAATTTTAAGAACTGATTTTAAGTCTTGAAGTTTAAAATAATAATTAAAAAATAAATATTTTTTGAAATCTTTTTGAATTTTCAATATTAAATCATTTTAAGTGTCACTTACTATTTTCAATAATATTTATATTACGTTATCAAACACACTTAATTGGATAAACACTTAATCCGTTTAGAATTAATTGAGTTTTCAAACAGTAAATAAGTCATAAAATTTTTAAATTTTTATTTTTTTTATTTTAATAAACACAAACACTTTAGTTAAGTAATTTATCAAATTTTACGAATTTTTATGTAATATAAATAGACTATATTTTGAGATTTCAAATTTTTTAAAATTCAATTCCTTTTAAATTTTAGGGTTAATTACAACCACACCCCCTGAAGTTTGTCATATTGACAGCCATATACAACTTAGCCATTTTTTGGACAAAGACACCCTCTAGATTTACAAACTTGAACAATGACATCCCAAATATGATGAAAATACATGTTTACCTTTTGACCATGTAAAATGACGAAATTACCCTCATCCAAAATATCCTTTCTTCTTCCAATTTTTAGATCTTCCCATTCATTCTGTGAGTCCTTCTTCCCTACCGTCCATCAAGCCGCCACGAGCCATCCACAACCGCAGTCCATCAAGCCGCCACAGGCCCACAGCAGAGCCCATCACCGTCCCGTCGTCTCTCTCATCCGAGCCATCCACAGCCGCAGTCCATCAAGCCGCCACAGGCCCACAGTCGAGCCCATCACCGTCCCGCCGTTGCCCTCATCCGAGCCATCCATAACCACAGTCCATTCCTCCATCTTTTACTCACAGCCATCGCCACCGCCGCCGAGTTGAACGAACCTCGCTCACCGCATCCGAGCTCTGCCACCACCGAGTCCAACTTGGACGAGTCAATGCCCGTCACCGCTGCTGTCAGTTAACCGCGCCCCTTCATCGCCGTTCCGAAGTCAATCGAGCCAACTGCCCCCGATTCTATCCAGCCAAGCTATCCACCGGTGTTCAGTGTTAACAGCCCGTCGCCCGCAACCGAGGCCGTCTTCCTGTCGCCCACGACCAAGGCCAAGGCCGTCTTAAACAAGACCGAGCCCTCACCAGCCAAGCCTTCACCGGCCGCCGCGAGTCCTCCATGACCGAGCCATCCACAGTCAAGCTCTCCACCGGCTGAGCACTCCATTTTGCTCGCCAGCCGTTGTCCTAAAAGTGCTCTCTGAATCGAGATAGTCACCCATCACACGAATCTAAAACCCAACTCCACGACACTCGATGACGGCGGGCGGCTCAGCCGGTGGAGGGCTCGGCCATGAGAGGAACTGCGACATGGAATCGGCGAGTAAGAATCGAGATTAGGGGTTTGAGAGATACTCTTTGTGTGTGAGAGATAGAGAGAAATTTGGGTTTGATTT